TATCCTTTATAAATAATTCCAACATTTTAACAACATCGTTTCTGAAATGCATCGTTTAACTTCTTTCCAAAGAGTGATACGAGACAATACCAATCTCATGTGTGTGAATAAAACACAGACTATGAATCTTTCCAATAATTAATACAATTTAATATGATCATTTCAAGTCATTATTAATAAAATGAACCTTAACTCAATGAAGCACTTAAATGTGTTGCTTTAATGTCTGTCTTGTATGCCAGTAGCTTACAGCGTCTAGTGGTAGCTAGCATCATCAAACTTAGATATTTAGATGTATTGAGATCACTCATTCTGACTTTAATCCTCTTTTGCTAATACTATACCACATTTGACTATGTTATGTTACCAATGAACATTTCAATGGTTTTATCACTCAACAAGAAGAAACAACATATTTTAGGATCAAATGATCAAAACAAGTCCTGGTTACTGTTTTGTACATTTGGAAAAAGGGCAGTTTTCATTTCTACTGGTGAAATGTGTTATTTGAAATGTGCTGATGATGCAACACTACATACTTTAAATCATTTCCTGTTAACAAAAGGTCCTGTACAGTATTAGCTGCTAAAGCGGTGCGTGAGTCATAGCCTAACCACCATCCAAATGCTGAGGTAGTGGGAGGCTTCTAAAGACTCAATAAGGCCTAAACACTTCAACCCATCTGTAACGTTGAGTTTTTAAAATATTAAACCTGCCAATTGCCCCTGCTGATTGGCTCTTCTTGAATGGGTCCCTCATGTGGTGGCAGTTGCCCTGGCGACAGATACAAATATAAATGCTGTTCACTTCCTTTGTGGTTAAGCATAAACACCCCCTTAACATTATTGCAAAACACAGCATGACATATCTGCACAGCCACCAAGAAACTGAGCAGCAACAGGAAGCAACACACAGCCGGCCAGCAGGGACCCGGTTACTCCGGACTCTCACAGGAGCTGCGATATATGGTCGTAAATAAATCACAAATGAATATAAGGTTATATTAAAAATAAATAAATACTTTGGCAGAAAAGTAAACCACAAAGGGCAAGGTGCTTATATTTAGTCTTTAATTCAGGGGTGGATTTTAGGCCTACATGAATTAAACGTGTCAGAGTGTTATTTCCCATTTATTCTCAATGTAATGTGCGTTAACCTGCACATGCAGGCGATCTAACTATCTGAATATTAGACACTTTAAATAGCAGGAAATGACTTTAGACCAGATTTCTGTTCTCTCTGCTGCCTCAAAATACCAATGCATCAACAATGCACCTGCCACACTCAGTGGCTTCGTGTCAGGTGGCAGGTGGAGCCGTCAACTGGAGGCTGGTTCAGAACAATTATTATTTGAACAGATAAAACTCAAAGTGAACGACACTCCAACAAAAAAAAACACCAATGTCCAACACCAACACACGAGGAGATCAGTCATGTTTTTTTACTGAAGAATAAATATGTTTATTATTATGTTATAGTCGGACAATGGTGTGTAGACAATGGATGCCACCACATCGGCTGAATCTCTCTTTTTGTGCGTGTGTGTGCGTGTGTGTGTGTGTGTGTGTGTGTGTGTGTGTGTGTGTGTGTGTGTGTGTGTGTGTGTCATCAGCAATTGATTGCATGCTGCCTGATTCATACTGATGGTGTTGATGATAAAGGAAGTTTCCTCAGCATTACAGCTTTCTGTTCCTCAAATAAATAAATCAGACTTTAGTTCCTCCTGGAGTAAATCCACCAGCTACCCTGCAGAATACAAAGTCATTCAAACTAGCTGCACCTTCACCAGCTTTGAGAACACTTTCATGATCAATCATTAGAAAACATATCATATATATTATTCTGAAATGGACCAATCTGCACAACGACTACTTTTACTGTCGCTACTTTCACTATATTTTGATGAGAATACTTTTGTGGGAGAGAAACTCCCTTTGGAGGGAACAAAGGGGTTTTAGCCTTTGTAGGCTATGTATGTATGTACATGCACAATAGCCTATATAACAAACTACATGACAGGGAACACCCACAAAACAGAATAGGCCCCTTAAGCTCCGTGTTATTCCATCAATCAGGAGGCAGAGTTTTCATATTCTGCATGTCAGTGTCCTTCGCTCATGATAAGCAGGAGCACCTAGTATAGCCTCCGCCCCCAGCATGTGAGGGGGGGGATTCTGTCTGCCGCCATGAGGAGTCGCCAGGACCAGAGTAATGCAGTCCATGTATCTTATATATTATTATATAGTCAGAGGTACTCAGGTCTTGTACTTGAGTAAAAGTACCAGAGTGTAGGAATACTCTGTTAGAGTGAAAGTCCTGCATTCAAAATGTTCCTCAAGTAAAAGTAGAAAAGTATTATCATCCAAATATAGTGAAAGTAGCGACAGTAAAAGTAGTCGTTGTGCAGATTGGTCCATTTCAGAATAATATATGTTTTATAATGATTGATCATTAAAGGGTTCTCAAAGCTGGTGAAGGTGGAACACATTCTAATTCATTCATTTACTGCTGGTTAGTATGTGAATGTAATCAAGGTGTTACTAAAGTCACATTTGAGTGTGATTATATATATATATATCTTTTATTACTAATCCAGATCTGCAAAAGTAACTAAAAGGTAATAAACAATTGTTGTGGAGTAGAAGTACAAAGGAGTATACAATGGAAATACTCAAGTACAGTACTTGAGTAAATGTACTTAGTTACTTTACACCACAGTATATAGCCAACAGTGCAGAGGTGAGAGGAAAGGAAGGTGAGTCTGTGTGCAGCCGCAAGAACCAGGAACTCTGGAGTTAATTTGATAATTACTTTCCTAAAATAGTTGTTCACTGCAGTTCTTATCAAACAATAGTCAATAGGAGTACATAGTGTGTGCTCATGGAAACAAAGCAAGTGGTGTGTTTTTGATAATAGAGCTGTAGATACAGACAGGATGACCAGGGTCTCACACTCACTCCTCCTGCAGACCCCTGGTGTGACTCATCCTACGAGAGCCAGGCCTTCGTCCGAGCCCTCCGACTCTACCGACAGGACAGAGGAAGCTATGAATCCTGGGAAATGCTGCTCGGCACAGAGGAACAAGTCAGCAAACACACACACATTTCAGTTTGGTTGTTGTTCCGGCTCATTTGATTATTAAATGATGTGTTTGCATGTGTAGGTGCTGGCCTCACAGGTGATGGAGGAAGTGTTGTCATGGCTACAGAGTCAGCTTCAGTCCAGAGTGAAGGGCAAGAAGGCTGAGAGGATTCGACAGTGGTTGGCAGTGAGTTAAACAGAAACTGTATTTCATAGTTGACTGTCTTCATTACTGAGAGCATAGGGAGAAACTACTCACTTTGTTAATGAAACCTCTTAACAGTACTACCATCCCAATTTAGCACAGATTACTTTCATACACTGTGATTTAAGGGAGATGAGTCTGTAGTAGTATTCTTTTGTGATAAAAACAGGATAATATAATATAACACATATAATATTGTGAAAGGCACCATTAAGTACTTTTACTTCTGATATTGTAAGTACAAATAGATGATAATACTTCTGTACTTCTACTTAACATTTTGCATTTAAGACTTCTACTTGTAATGGAGTATTTTAAGACCATAGTATTTCAAGTAAAGGATCTGAGTACTTCTTCCACCTCTGTTTAAAGAGGACTTCACAATGACCACCTTTAGCTGAAGATATGTGGATGTTTTGGAAGCTGCTTGTCGTGTGCCCCCAAGTGGCAGCACAAAGCAATGACTGCGTTCAGAGCAATGCAGCTTTAATGTTTGAAATATTCAGACATTTTCAGACATCATTTCTTTCTTCCAACTTCAGATTATAATCTTAATATTCTCAGAATTCTGCATTCCTTGTCAGATATTGATCTTTTAATTGATCCATTTATATGTGTCTGTGTATGTATAGACAGTGCAGGCTAGCTACTCTCTGGTGCTGGAGCAACTCTCCTTCAGTCTGGAGGCTCTGAGGGCCGAGTGTCGCCAGACAGCGTCAGCCAATCAGGCGCTGATCAGATCTAACCTGGACCAGATCATGTCCTCCCACTGCTTCCTGGAGGAGAAAGTCAAAGGTAGCGCACGCTAACCCGACACACAGAACATTCTGGAGAGGCAAACGACGCTAACAAACAGATGTCTGAGTTTCCGTTGTTAAAAGAAAAGTCACTGGAAAGAATATTGTGTGTGTGTGTGTGTGTGTGTGTGTGTGTGTGTGTGTGTGTGTGTGTGTGTGTGTGTGTGTGTGTGTGTGTGTGTGTGTGTGTGTTCCAGCGTGTATATGTGCAGAAGCAGAGAAAGTGTGTGGTGAGTGTGTGTCGCCCAACATTTCCTCCATCCTTGAAGCGCTCACTGAACATATCAGTGCAGGGATTCAGGGGATGCAACACACACTGCACACACAGATGGACTCAGCCTTCACAAACACTAATGGAGGAACAGAGGAGACCAAGAAGGTGAGAGACATGTGTTCTAAGTTAAAGTCTATGAATAATAATAATGGCTTGAATTTCAGAGTTTTAGTTGAGATATTTTGTGGTGATTTCTTGTTTTTCTTCAGAAAATCAATATAGTTAATTCCAAAGCTGCTGGGCCAGTAAACACAAAACCTGCAGGATATGTTTAAATGTTCTCAGGATACAGCCTAAAAGTTCCAAACAAACTGACCATTAGGGGGCACAACAAATGCAAAACATGGATGTGGTGATAGAGGGCGTGACATAACTCAAATAAGACTATAAATACGAAACTATAACAAAAGTGCCCTAACGTTTTTCACAACAACTTTAAACCAGTTGCACAACCAGTGCATGCCTACACATTTGGATGATGATGGTTATTCTTATTTTTGAGTGTTAAAACATGTCTCTAACATGTTAGTGCGCTGCCGGAGGGTGTGGCTGTACACAGATCGTTACTAATATGTCTCTCTTTAGGTCATACACCTGCTGTCTGTAATGCAGCTATCAGAGACCCCCCCCTGCAGCTTTACAC